GAAACTGTTTTGTTCTTCGTTATTACTATTCCTTTGTCTCACACCTCTTTACTGTCTATATTACTCATTTCTTCTGCTTTCTTCTCTTGCTTTATGTGCTACATGGACTGTGTCGACTTGAACTGCCGCACATCGATGCAAAGTTCTATGTTGAATACAGACAGACAGTTGAACAATATTAGCTGACATAGGCCTAGAATGGAGAAGAGTTAGACAATATGGTCACAAACCAAAACATGACATCAGTCCATGAAGTCTCTGATACTTGGTGGGGAAGTGTAGACTGCCTGCCTGGCTGGCTGGGAACTTCAAGATGCTTAAGAACCAGTGGTTTGAGACTCAAGGTGATACAGCTTAAAATCATTGCCAATAGCACAGATGGATTGTCATCTCCAATATCGATTAAATCTTCACGGTTCTTTATGTTTCTATTATTTCTCTCGCACATGTCTCCCAACAGTTCTTTTAGATCTTTTTTCTCTTTACCTTAGAGTGTATCACTTTTCATCTGCTGAAATTCTGAGTAAAGTTCCACGTTGAAACTCAGTTAGAATAAAGTTTTATGGAAAAACATTTATGATTCAGTTCAACATTGAACTGATGCATACATACACACATACAGTTCAAATGTGTCTTAAAAACACGAATCCAAAAGGATTGGAAGATATGAAGCCAGGCTGAAAGAATATTGACAGGAGGGGTATATGACCTGTAGAGGATAAGAGAAGTTACACTAGTGTCGTACTTATCATATTCAGTCATTCATTAGCAAGGATGAAGATGTAGAATATTAGCTTGAGCACTCAATATTCTACCAATAGGTTCTGTGAAGCTATATAGACTGAGATGGCTAGGACATGTGTTACGAAAGCCTAGCCATCGCATTCCTCAACGGTCAATGTTAGCTGACATGGGGTGAGGTTAGGAGAGAAACAGCCAGTGGTGGTCAAAATCATTTGTCTGTCTGTTTTCGACATAGAACTTTGCACCGATGTGCAGCAGTTCAAGTCGCCACACTCCCTTCATGTAACACACAAAGCAAGAGAAGAAAGTAGAAGAAATGCATAATAGAGACAGTAAACAGGGATTTGAAACAAAAGGAATAGTAATAACGAAGAACAATATAGTTTCATTGGAAATTATAAGTCACAAGGAATGGATGCATCTGAGTCATTGAGAACGCGTTGGGGCTGATGGTACTTCTCAAATAAGTGAAGTGGTCAACGTGCTCTATCATTTCACTCCCTATTTCTAAACTAGGAGTCAGTGTAGTCCAGTCCTGCAACATCATCTTACATTTGACAGCAGGAGCGAATCGCATGCCAAACATTCGTAGGTTGCTCGCTGCTCAAGGTGTTCAGAAGACTCTGCTGGATTTTGTCAGCGTCCTCGCCTAGAAGGACTATATCGTCTGCATATTCTAAGTAAACGAGATCATTCCCTGGTAGCAAGTCGACCCCGAGGCTATGAAGTGAGCTAGGGTTAAGTCCATTAGTACATCTATGATAATGGGCATCCTTGACGGACGCCACTAGTCGTCACCACTTCAGATGACAACTCGCCATAAGCGATGACCTGGCTGCATGAATACGAGTAGAGTGCTTTGATCAGTGCAATGTATTTTCTCGGCATTCCCCTTACAGCCAAGCATCGCCAGAGTACCTCTCGGTCGGCAGAATCGAATGCCGCCTTTAGGTCAAGAAATATAGCGATTGTTGGACGCCGGTAATTACGCCTATATTCTAGAATCTGTCGGAGTGTGAAGATATGATCAATACACCCTCTTCCTGGTCTAAAGCCTGCCTGGCTCTCTCGTGTTTGTGCCTCCCGAGCACCACTTAGTCTACGCAATATCACTGAGCCTAGGACTTTAGATACTATATTAGTCAAGCTAATCCCTCTGTGATTATCACAGGAAGACTTGTGAGAGCTGATAGGTACTACTTCATTATTCAGACTGAATTCAGGTGTGGAGCCACCGCAATCGAACCATAGACGACACACATACAAAAAGAAGTATCAATAAAAACACAAATTAAGTATAGCTTAAAATGTAATCCATCAGCACTTGTATTAGGTCAGTAAGTTAGCTTTCACAGCAATGTGTATAAATAAACTATATGGGTCAAGGATATCACAGTATTTATCCAATTATTTTGTGTAGACACGTAAATAGGTGACCTATAATAGATGCTTTAGATACACACTTGTACACGACTACGCAATTAATCAAATTTAGCATCTATACATAGAAACAACTAAAAGTGTATTCATCACTTTTTCTTCGAAATCAAACAGATCAGCTGTTAGCGCATTCAATGTTGACCAGATGACTTAGTGAAAAAATGAATAAACAAAAACAAAAATTTCACAAAACTAATAATCAATTGTATTGTAAATATGTCTTGCTAATTTAGCCAACCATGCACTTGGTCTAGGGTTGAAATCCCGGCTAATGCACTCCTAGACCTTGACAAAATTGAGAAAGAGATAAGGTTAGGTGTGCGTCTGTGGGGGAAGGGGTAGCTACTGATTGACTGACTGGTTTAAACTTAGAACTTTGCACCCAAGTGCTACAATTCGAGTCGCCACACTTCACTTAGCACACAAAGCAAGAGAAGAAATAGAGACGGTAAACAGAGATATGAGGCTACTCAACCCCTTAAAAACCACCGCTACTGTAGTTTTATTGCATTTCTTCGTCGCTACTGCTTAGCAAGATTTTCGGTAATGTGTTGTAAATGAACTGAAAGTGCCTTGTAGAACGTTTCACATTCATTAGTCAGTCAGAACACCACACGGTTGTGAGGCAAGCACGAGAGTGCCCTAGCTGCATAGGTATCTGTATGAATAGTGATAGTGATGCCGATAAGTTCTAAATCTCACGCTATCCCTGACTTCTTAATAAAACACAAAAAGATCCTGGAAATGGTGAGCAAACACTCAAAGTTTTAAGACTATACTAAAATTTAAGAAGCCTAATACAATAACCATATCCACTCTAATAAGGTATTTGAAAAGTTTCCTTGGCTAAGGCAATACAAATTCAGAAGTTACAAAGATGTTGGTTTGAGATGATATGTGGTGTGAAGAGTCTTAAAAAAAGATAAATTATATCAAGTAACAAATGTTCTTTTACAACACTTCTCTTTGATAGTTTAAAGATATTTTCAACTGACTGATTGGTTTCAACATGGAACTTTGCACAGATGTGCAGCAGTTCCAGTCGCCACACTCCACTCAGAACACAAAGCAAGAGAAGAAAGTAAAAAGAAATGCATAATAGAGACAGTAAACAGAGACACGAGGAAAAAAATAGTAATATCGCAGGACCATATAGTTTTATTGGGTATGATAAGTCACAAGGAGTGGATGTATCTGCACCATTGAGAACTATGAGTTTGAGCAATATCACCAACTGTCTCCAGTCTTCATTGGTTTTTACCATCCCCAGGACCCCAGCCAGTCAGAAGTCTACACCTCCCAATGTGACTGGCTGGCTGGCTTTAACTAACTGTTGTGGATTTCATCGACTGATGAAGCCATATTTTAGTTTGACCATCACAGGCTCTTTTCCAACCTGATCTATCCTATTCCAGTCAGCTAACATTGCCCGTCCATCGAGGAAGGTGATGACTAGGCGTACGTAACACAAGTCTGGTTAGTACTGTTATATTATCATACGTCAAGAATAAGAGGGATGATTAAGAGAAAGCAAATCATGATAACCGTTTTTCCGTGTAACAGATTTACACATAGGAGTAGTCAAAACATATGAATCATAGAACTAAACATGAATAAAGCTAACAGGTAGTTTACTAAAAATAGGAAACATAAGAGATAGAATACATGGGAATTCATAGCCTTTCCTAATGAAAATGAATGAGTCAGTAAAACAGGTTGAGATTAGAGTGGCACATTGGTTGCAGCACTGAAATTTCAACTGGTGGGTCTCTGGTTGGGAATCCAACCCACAAGGATAAAAGTAAAGCTGGCTGACTAAGTTTCAAAGTACAAATTTGCACAGAAGTACAACAGTTTAAGTTCCCATATTTTATATAGCACGCAAGAGTAGATAAGATAGGAAATTGGTATTACGAAGAACTTCCATGAGCAGATATGTATGGGAGGAGTAGTTACATGGGAAAACATGATTTATTGGATATAAGAGATCACACAGAGTGAGTGTATCTGTGCACACTGAGAACGACTTCCAGCCAATATCACCAATTCTCCCCAGTTATTGGTTCTTTGTATCTTGAGGTGCCAAACTAGGCAGGTACACATCCCTATATGGCTCAAACTAACAGTCAGATTTTATGGATTGATGCCGGATGGAACTAATGTTCTGTAATCTTACATATGCTAGTAAAATCACATTCTCTTTATGGACAATCTTAAAAACTGGGTAAATGACGTGAGTAAATAAAAAAGGAAAGTATGACCAGGAACCAAAAACCAGTTCAACCATTACTTGCAGGTTAACTTTCGTACTCCATGGTAATTTAGTAAACCACGTTTTGATTTCATGCTGAGGCTACAATTCACACAAGCGGTTGAATCCGATCCTAACTCTACGCTAACTATAGGCACTTGCACTTTCATTGTGGCAAATTTGTTTTCAGAAAGTCTTCAACAAGACAATAATCATAATTAAATTTGAAGGTGAATCTCTACTAACACCTGTCATCTCCAGCAATTTTTTCAAGCATTAAAAGCCAAAAAGTAATTGAATTTACTTTGAACTTATTGCTAGACCATAAGCAAAGTACCTTTATAAGTATAGATTCAGTACTAGAATCATGCAAATCAAGTACACTGTTTGCTATATATACATGAAGTGGAGTGCTCTTAAAATGAACGAAAGCACTGCAAAAACAAAGAAATACTGATATGGCAGGCTCTATACACAAATTTGTCTATCTATGAGCAGTTTGAAGAACTTTAAAACTGTAATTAAACCACGTTTCGATCATGAAAAAAGAAACAAATGTACATACCTGGCCTTCACCTTCAATTACCAGACCAACTTTGTCTTCAGTTAAGTTTTCTGAAGACTTCTTCTGCTCATCCTCTTCTCCCTCATCTTTATAAACTTTAACTTCATCGGTACATGCGATTTCCATAAGTACCGAACTCACAGAAAGTGACCTTAGCCTCCTCCACAGTACCAAGCACCTTGAGATCAAGGTCACGGAATTTCATTTTTCAATGTTAAGGGTAAATATTATCATATTTTACTTTAAAAAACTTAAATTATTATAAATAACGATAAAATGTGGTCTGTGTGTTTGGTCTAACTCATTTGAGCGGGCATTTTGAAATTTTGCGGATGAATGCGTCAAACGCTGCTGCTGAGCTCAGCGCCACTGAGCAAAGGATTATTAGGATAAAGTCGGATATAGATCAGTTTGAAGAACTATTCAGACGTGTCGTCAATGGGTTTGGAGACACTAAATACCTCAATGAACAATATCACAAACTTATCCTCACAACCAAGGATTTATCTTTTCATTTGGATACCCTGCAAAAGTAGTTATTATCCCTATCTTTTTTTGAAGTCCTTTTTTTTAAACACTTCTATACAGAAACTGTTAGTCTTGTTTTACTATTTGATTCTCATGTTAGATTTTGTGATAAAAGGTAGTAAACTAAGAGTAGTCCGTGTTGACCCTTGCAGAATCTATGCATAGAACTCTGAACTACTAAAGGCTTACGTAGCAGGAACTAAGCTCATTTAATCCTGTGGAGAGTTCCAGTCTTTAGCCAAACTATGCGTTAATCTGAATTCGGTCGCTAAGTACTTTTTATGAATAGCACCCATTAGTGTTCATGGTAGAAAAAACTTGGTATATGACAAGCCATATTCAGGCTACCTTCTGTCATTATATGGTAATGAGTAGAGGTCTAGTTTGCCCATCCTCCTACAGTGTGACCCATGTAACCAGTAGGGATACTTAGTCTTTATGCTTTCACTCAAGACTGCTCCTTGAATTACGGATAAGACGTTTGTGTGCAGTGTGTGAGATGAAGTCTAACGTATTTTAATCAATCTTGTTGCAGTTCATCAAAATCCATGCTAGTCATCTACAATATCAACTTCCTATGTGTCGTTTTATTGGTATCAAACCTCATTTTTGAGGGCTTGGGAAGGATTTATAAAAAAAAGATAGTACTTTCTTCAGACAGGCTTAGTTCAGCATGCGAATATTCCAGATGTGTGTATTGAGTTAACGGCCTCTTCCATCTTGGCTTCTTTTACAACATAGATCACTTAAGTGTCAGTTATTGCTCTACTGTCTAAGGGAACACTAATTCTACATCCTAATTTGAGGATATTTCAATCATTTCACCGTTATTTTTATATAATTATGCAAGTTTTCAAAATTGTATTTACCATGGTTTCTAAGCACTGCCATTCTAATTTCATATATTACGCATTTTAACTAGTTAAAACTCATTTGTTCTTCCTATAGAGCAATTCAGCTGGGGTCACAAATTCCCGATCTGCGTGCTCGAGCTCGTACTTTAAATTCTCAAGCCATAAGTCAACTTGGACGTTTGCAAAAATTGGGTAATAGTGTTCAACAACATGCCAAAAGTGAGACAAAAGTTGAATCACTTAACAGTGAAGGAAAATATCCATCTGTCAATGACTTTGCATTCAGTCGTAAGTTCTTACTTTAATCAGTGTATCTTTTATACAATTGACTACTGCAGTTCTCTTATACAAATTAAACATTCTTCATTGCTTATTCAGCTGTGATATAGCCTTGGTTGAAAGGTGGATGTTTTTGGTACAACTCATACAAGTAGTCATTTAGTTATTATTATCTATCCGTTCATTCTCTGCTTTCCAAATGACACATGGGGCTTCAACAAAACGCCACCACTACACTCGCTTCTCTGCTATCACTTCTAGCTTGTCCTATGACTGCTCACAAACTTTCATTCTCTCTTCACACCATCTCTTGTGTTACTCTCAGACCCATGTATAGTTTGTCATTCCTTACTCGAGGTCCTGGCGTGTGACGACACTTGATCGTTGCTTCAGCGTGTGCCCTGTCCTTCTTCAATTCCTTTTGAATAATTACTGGGTGTTAAGTTGTTGACCGATACATTGACTGTAAAGTTCCTTGTTGCTAATCTTTTTTACCTGGTCATCTGCTCTTCAATATGCAGTGAAGGTAGTTATTAATGAAACCGTGCAGACTATTGAAAATTCTGGTAACACTCGCACAAATATTAAAGCACTGACTGACTTGACAGTTTAAAATTTGAATCTTTTCCCTTGTAATGAGAACTGTAAACCTCTACACTGATTTCAGAGTAATAAACTCTTGTCTTGCTTTTTTTTTACTTTGGCTGATTCCGCACATCCTACAGTTTTAGAGGATGCCACCCAGATAAATGAAGGAGATGACTTTCCTTAGACTTCTTTCAATGACAATGTCGTTGGTCAGGTATCTTCATCACTTGACATCTTGTCTTCGCCGCCTCATCTGCCAAATTGTTGGTTTTGGCTTATATTCGTACTGTCATATATATTCTTATTATTAAACTCCTTAGCTAAGCGTCCAGCTAAATTTCACAAAGGCAACTGTAAACTCATATCTACTTGTGAGTCGCATTTTTATGTTGTAGACCTTAATTTCATAATCTAAAAGTGCAAACGATAGTCATTTCAGATTAAATACACGCTGTCGTTGTAAAGGCTTTCTAGTTAGCTTAAACTGTTATAGTACCCATATGATAATCATACCGAGGGCATAGGATTACGTTGGAATAGAATAAGCGGTTGTCGAATCAAATTCTGACATCAATCTATAGAGTCTTTGAGTGCTGCTCTGATCCAGCCATGTTGTAGACTACTTGGTCGAAGTTTCAGTAGCAGTGGTGTTATCTTTTTTTGCGAGGTGGGGATTGCTAGCCCCACGCCCAACCTCCCTTATCGTCGTCGAGCTCACGACCGACCGGGGATCGAACCCCAGACCGCTTGCATAGTCGGCGAGCATCCTACCGCTGAGCCACCACCACCGGCACACCAAGAACCAGTAGTACCAGATGATGACTATTTGTGATATAGCTGGCTCGGAACTGTTTTGTCAATGATTCCTTTGAAAAACCCCCTAACTAAAATTACACTCTTCCAGGCATCATTATCATGTAAAAAAGTGAAGTTATAAATTACTCAACCCAGTATTAAACTATGCAACTTCAAGCAGGTGTGTTGTCGAATAGTTGGAAATTGAAACATTAGATTTTCAGTCGTATTTAACTCTATAATGTTTACTGATTGATTACCAGACCTTATCACTACTTTTATTACATCAAATGGTTTCGATCATAGCGCTACTTGAAATTTTATTTCTTACATGTATATATTATACATTCAGAAGGTCCTTTAGAACAAAAGCAGATAACTATGGAATCTAAAGCAGATATTCAGCGAGCACATGATATGGAACAGTTGGAATCGGATATTGTTCAAGTGAATGAATTATTCACCACACTTGCTACTTATATTCATGATCAAGGAACTTTAGTTGATTCAATAGGAGATAATATAGAAGTAGCCTATGAACAGGTATGTATATTGTTATTTATTATTGATTCTATTGATTTTGAGTAAATATTGTTCAGTTTTTCTTTTTTTTTACTACGGCTGTGTTATGCGAATAGAAATGAGTGTTAGTTGGTATAAAAATAGAACTTGTACACTGCGGTACATTATAATTCCATTGCGGCCAAAAATTATATTTGAGATACTGCCCGGATGCCCAGACCCCAATCAGGTGGTTGTTGTAAGCGACCATCCCCTGAGCTTTCAACTTCAATTCTGATCTATAGGGCAGTGGAGCTGCGTTCTGATGGATTTCAGTAGCCAAAACTGATTCATACTTCATCCGATCCTTTCGAGTTCCTGAGTCATGGTTTTCCGGCTCTCATAGGTCAGTTGTGTAAGCTCCAGACTTTCTCATTTTCACCGTTCCCCTTTTTATGTGAGAAACACCCCCTGCCGTGTGAAGGCGGCAGTCTCGGTATACTTTAATGCATCTCTTATTGAAAATTTCGAAGTCTCCATTTTACAAATACAACTTAGCCTAATATTGTGCAATTTTTAGAAAAGTACATATCTGTATTCGACAGATAAAATTAAACAATTGCAGAATGAATCTATAGTTGTGTTAGAGTGTTATCCTTCACTCATGTTATCAGTTTGCCTTCAACACTAACCAATTGCCTCATCAATCTTCAGACTAATTCGTTTTTGAATGTAATTTATTTAGCCCAACGAGTTAATTTACACGCGTATCACACAGATCATATTTTTTCACTGTATTATGTACATGGAACTGATTAAATTGGTTTACCTTTGAGGTTTTCTATTTCATCTTGGCTTCTGTATGTGATAATGTTAGGCTTTCATTAGGTTTTGAAGACGATGTGAACACCAAGAGAAATACATCATGGGGTATAGATAACTGAGATATTGTCCGAACGTTCAAGCTGAAAAAATCTCTGATTTGAAGTATCTGACCCAAGAAGCAACAGAGAACAGTGCCGAAAGCTCCTCTCCTATGAGTTACTGGTTACTGAAACAGGCTCATGTGGCAGATGTGCATCACAGGTTTGGAATCAGGGTTTTATAACTCTCTGTTTCCATCAGATCGGCTGGTGAGTGTCTGTCTGTCTGTCTGGATTCAACATAGAACTTGGGCACCGAAGTGCAGCAGTTCGAGTTGCCACGTTCCAAATAGCAAACAAAGGTAGACAGGAAAATGAGTGAAGAGAATCAATAGAGTTTTGACAAGTGTAAGAGTGAAACAGAATGAGTAATGGTAGAAAGGAATATGAAAGATTACAGAGACTGAATACATCTTCGTAAGCCATTGACAACAATTTTGAGCCATGTCGCCTATTGTCTCCAGCCATTGATTCTTAGAGTCTCGAGGGCGGGCCCCAACCCGGAAGTCTGCATCTCCCTACCTGACTCAGTTTAACTGTCAAGGATTTCATGGATTGATGGAGCCATGTTTTTGTTTGGCCACCACTTACTCTTTTCCAACTTGCATTCGTATTCGCCCTTTCTTTTGTGTAAGAATACTTCCCCCGTCACAGCGATTCCTACATAATTGACTGAGGCATGGTCACTACATGAGGAGGTGGAAAGACAGAAGTCTACCCTCCATCAGCCTTACGATATCATTTTTGCCGAGCAGTTAACAACCTACACTTACTCTCTCTCTCTCCCCTTCTCCATTTGACTGACTGACTGGTTTCACCGTAGAACTTTGCACAGATGTGCACCAGTTCCAGTTGCCACACCGCATGTATATCACACGAGGCAAGAGATGAGATAAGCTAAAGAGAGATAATCAACAGAAATATGAAGCAAAAAGAACAGTAATATGGAAGAACAATAGAATCTTATTGGATATTATAAGTCGTAAAGAGTGAATTCATCTGCGCCAGCCGTCACCGAGAACAATTTTGAACCATATCACCGATTGCCGTCTCCAGCCTTCATTGGTTTTTATTACCATCCCGAGGACCTCAACCAGTCAGGAAGTCTACGCCTCCCTATGTGGCTGGCTGGCTGGCTTAAACTAACTGTTGTGGATTCCATTGACTGATGAAGCCATGTTTTAGTTTGACCACCACTAGCTACCACTTTTTCAACTGATCCATCCTATGTCAGTCGGTTAACATTCCCCGTCGTCGAGGAAGGCGATGGATGGCTACGCAGGCATGTGCAACACAATCCATCGATGTAGCTCCACAACCTCGTCGTTTGATTTCCTTCCTTCTCCATTTAATCCTATTTTCTTTGTTTGTTTGTTTAACTTTTTAGGTTCAAAGTGGTACAGAACAACTGACTACAGCAACAAAACATCGAAAATCAGCACGACGTAAAAAGTGTATCTGTCTTGGATTAGTCATCTTGATTTTATTCATTATCGGCTTGGCTATTGGATTATCCTTGAAACAATGATTGATTGATTGATTGAATAGTGTTCATATACGCATACAGTGATACAATCCGTTGTTTTGTTTTGTTTTGATTTTTTGCTTCACCCCGCCATTAACATTATTATTATGTGATTTGGAATTTCTGTTAATTTCTCTTTTTTTTAATTATTATTATTATTATTATTTGATGACTAGTTTGATTTATTCTCAAAATTTATTGGTTTCTATCATGATTTCATCATATATACACGCAAAACCGCTTACGTAGAAAGCAGAACAGAACTACAACACACAATGTCTTTCAATGACTTACAATTATCTTTTTTTCTTTTCTTTTCTTTTTGGTCATTGTTTCATGGTTTTACTTTGTCTATTTTTCACTTTTTGACAGAGAGACAGACCCCCCCCCCAACAAACACACAAACAGACACAGTATTCCATAATATTATAATAACTTCCAACATTCTTCTATGCTGATGACGATGATGATGAATGTGTGTGCGTGGGTGGGGGGTTTTTGTATCTCATTTATGACGCCTACTTGATTGTACAGTTACAATAATTTATATCATACATATTCATATATATGATACCCACTCATTCGCCATACACATTTATTCATCATTATATATATTTTTGTGTTTTTTGTTATAATTTTGCATACATTTATATTCCCCTTTACTTGATGAATATTTGAATAACGTTTCAGTGATCGGGAATTTGGATAAACTTTATTACGACGAAGAGATTTCCAGTAAATTTTGGGATATCGATTATTATTGAAACAGTCATTTATAAAATCTAAACATGTTTTCGCTTCTGTGAGTCTGGCATTATACTTCAAGTACTCATTGAGTGCCTTCAATGCACTGGGATCCACACGTGATTTCAAATCTTGAAATATTCCCATTTATAGTATTAGAACAAGACATATAAGCAAACAATATTTTATTTTTCAATTAGATCTTCAGGCTTTACTCTAATTTACATAGATTTATATATAAAACAACTTAACCAATGACGGTGATTTTGGGAATCAAATAATAATCTTAATAGTCTTAATAATAATAATGTGGTAAATGTTTTGAACGTAGTTAATAACGATGATTATATTGATAACAAAATATTGATAATAAGGTTTATGCAGGTGATAAGAATAACAAAGATAGTATATATATATATATATATATATATATATAAGTGTATAAATAAATTGGGTCAAATCTTAAAAGGTGAAGTGGAACGATAATCAGAGTTTAAATAAATATTATAAAAGTACGAAGAAGATGGAAAAATAAGAAAGGGTGGGAGGGTTTTGAATACAGTTCACCTAGGCTAAGCAAGGGAGAGACAAAGGTAGAACAAACTTCTTTTGTATGCAAAGACTAGGATTGTTGTCTCGAATTCCCATAGCTTCGGCTATGTGTAAAAGACGGTTTCTGATTCCATTCGAAAGACCCGATGGAATACGATAGATAACTTTGAAGGTGGCACTATTTTTGTCCACTTGGTGACCGCTATCAATCAAATGAGCCAAAATAGAACTTCGTATGGATTTTATTTGACCTTTTCCGAACCATGCAGGAAGTTGCTCATTAATGCGTTTGTTCAGCTGTCTAGTTGTTCGCCCTAATTGAAAACAGCAATATTGTTCGCTTATACGTCTTGTTCTAATATTATAAATGGGAATATTTAAAGAATTTGAATAAAGCAAGAACAACACAACTGGGGTTTGTGCAGAATAATAATAAGGTGATGGTGGTACACAATCATCAGTGTTTATTTCGTTGACTTCGCTTCTCATCAGCTCAGCTCAGCTGCTTGCTTACAGCCCAGAGACATTATTAAGTATATCTACAGAAACTACTTTTAACAGACTTACTTGCCCACAGAGAGTTAATTTGTAAACAAAAATCAATCAATGTAGCCAAAATATTCATTCAGACATAATAATTTAGCAAAGAATATCTTTTTCGATAAATTCCTCTTCTGGCTCTACAATTACATATATCTGTATGTTTATATACATAGAATATTTTAGAGTAGAAGTCAATAACAATATTAGTGTTTTTAAATAATATCGATTTGTAAAGTCAGATCACAATGGAATTACAGTTCGTTAAAGATGCTTAGATAATAATAAAGATATAGTAGCAAATAGAATATCAACTAAAATTAGGAAAATTCCACAAAAATTGAGGATCATTCAAACCTAGATGGCCATTGGGGTAAGGATAATGTGTGAACTAACTTCTTTTAGATGCACAAATTAAGCTTGTTAATATACTTTACTTTACTTCGGCTATCTCCTACGGGAGGATGAGCCGGCTTCATGAACATCTCAGAGAGTTCATGAAGTTTCATGGGAATTTGGTACGAGTGATGTCTCCAGAATCGCTCGGCCTTTTGTTTGAGAGTGCAGCTCTAGCCTTTACACAACCAAGTGTGACCTACAAGGCAGTAGGAGTGGAGTAGGGAGTCCACTATCCATTGGCAGCCGGTGACCGGAGTTCGGTTCATACGCCTTTTTGAATGGGGCCAGACATCCAACAAGCCCTTTGTCCATACGTCTGCCGGTGAGCTCCAGTGAGCTTCATACGCCAGTCGTTGGAGGTTTGGAGTCAGGGTTTAGCCATCTCCCCTAGACTGTCATCCAATGGACAATCAACCCGGTGAAGAGTGCCGGGCATCCGCTTTCGCCCTCTCACTTTGGTGAAAAACACCTCCGCCACGTGAAGGCAGTGAGTAGGACTTTCTCAGGAGAGGCTATGTAAGACGCCCGGTCATATGGGAGCATTTCAAGAGGTGTGTGGAGGGGTGGCCAACCCGCAGTGCAAGGCACCCACTCCCGACCATCCTGAGGCTTTGGAGGCAATATGGATCCCAACGGCCAGTCTCAGCAATATTTATTAATCGAACTCTTAAGGCAAAATTGAGATCTGCTGGAATGCGGTAAATGACTTTGAAAGCAACCTCGTTGGCATCAATCTTGTGTTCTGTATCCACAATCAATACATGCTTACAGCAATAATATGTATATGAAATTAAACACTTCCGAACAATATTTATCATACACGATAGAAACTTTCGACATTATGGAATCAGATGAAATAGAGGGTGAAAATATCCAGTTACCAGGACAAAGAAAGACTGACAACTGCTTCTTTCTGGACGCATAAATTAGGTTTCAGACGCTTGATGGATATCACTTTCGCAAGCTTGAGGAGAACTGAACTCTTTTAGCTCATGACCCGTGTCAAGGAGATGCCTGGTGATGGTGCTGTTAAAGGTATTTGTTGCCTTTTAGACACAGACATTGTGTATGATTACTATTGTTCGGAATAGTGTTTAATGTTATATATACATATATATATTATTGCTGTATGTGCATATTGATTGATTGATTTTTGTTTAAAATGAACTCTGTGCAAGTATGTTAAAATTGTTTTTGTAGATATACTTAATAATGACTTTGACCTGTAAACAGCTGAGCTGATGAGAAGCCAACGAAATAAGCAATGATGGTACACCATTTTATTCTGCAAAAACCAGTGTATTTCTTGTTTTATAGTTTTATTAGTTAAATTAATTTATCTTTTCTTCGAATTGGTTTCGAAGTAGCCATGATCGATAATGGTAAGCGAAGTTAAACTTTAAGCACCAAAGAAGTGGGCGACCGCACACGCTAATGAGATTTCGAAATATTCAGTTAGTGCAAGTGACTAAAAACCCAAGGTAAATATGGCTTAGAATCATGGAAAACAAAGTAGGCTTAATAAAGCGTTATGATATTATTATTATTATGAGTGGGGATATCCGGTGAGTTTTTAAGTTCTAGGTGTTAGGTTTGCGAAAGATTAAATCGAGGTTTATTTAGGTAAAGGACAAGAGGTGTTAGGGTAAAGTTTGTGGTGTGTGCTACTGACAAGATGTTTCCTCTTAATTCGAGACTCCCCAGGAGTAGGCACCGACCGGTGGCAAGCTTGGACACCATCTGGATCGGGTCCCAGTGGTTTAATGTTCTACGAACTAGCTCGCCCTGTAACCAGAAGGTCCTGGTGGTGGGTGTTTACTGATGAAGAGTCCCATGAAAGGACGAAACAGATATCCAGTACACCCTGATGGTTTTCCAATGGTTCTCTAACCGATGTCAGCTCATCATGATGAAATCCTGAAAGTAGCGAAAAATTAGTACTTGAGCCATGCCAGTAAATTTGACTGAATAAACCATTTCTATAAACCAAATTCAAGTTTTTCCTCATGTCTGGCTAAAGTTCCGCTTTCAACAACCAATGAGGTAGTCGAAATCCTTTTGTACTGCTTGATCTTACATTATACGTGACTCTAAATCAAGTCACTTTTTATGTTGATATTGAATGACTAGAAATAATAGTATACTCCAGAAATAAGCTGTTGACTGTCCTGCCTTCTCTCCTGTTCAACAATCATGCTGACAAGTGTTCATGGGAGCGTGTGTCCGAATCCTAGTTCATCTATAATCACTAGTGGCATGACTTCACCGTCACAGTTAAATTAGGGTTAATGACATATTACTAAATCATTCTTAAGGTATAGGATTACAAGTAAACTAACATCTGGACATATTGATTCTAATGTATTTGTCCTATATCGACAGGCAAATTAAGCGGGCTACCAACGAAGACAACTCTCAGCTAAAACGCAGATCCCCATCGAAAATATAGATTTGTGACATCGCGAATTGACGGAATTCATCGGTCATTAAAATTCCAACTCCCTGATCCTAGTGAGTCATGAATGCGCACTGCTGAGGAGTCCTAAGGCTAGAACAAAACAGCCATCCAGTACCCCTTCAGGAGGGTTTCGTGTGCTTTTGGATGTGTGTGGGCGGTTGTTACTTCCCAGCTGCCTACACCGTGAAAATTGGTTGATTCTTCGGGTATCTGAAACAGAAAGAGGGTGTGTTGTGTGACCACAGAGCTCAGGGGACAACTGCTTGAGGCCGGTCACACACGGCCTGTATGAACTGGTCTCTTGGATTGGTTCCGTATTAGTAAACTTACCGCCGATTACGGACCACCGTAGGTGGGGTAAGTCAGGATGTACAGTTTTTGGGGTCGACCTTTTCGAACCCTCTCTCTCCAGCGTGGAGAGACAGCATAAGTGGCTGGCATGCTGGTCATCTGAGGGAAACACCTTAATACTGCTGTTCCGCAGCAGTACGACTTCACCCACAGACCCCCAGCATAGTGTAAGAGAAAATTTCTACATTATGCTTGTAACTGCTTTCAGTCTAGTCGCTATCCTAACAATCTTCCTGACATGGTAGGACCTACGGGAACATTAGTTCCAGCTAGTTGTAGCTTGTTGGGTCATTGCAATATGCAAGCCCGACCATCATGTCAAGGTAGCAGCTATCGGTCGAGCCAGTACCCCTTAATTTTCAATAACATATAGATACCGAATATATATATATTTTCAAGTATCATTTTGTAGGGATCTGATTGGTTTCAGATCTTATGGATTTATATCACATCACAGCCACTGAACTAATAAAATCCGACGATCAAACTTAAAAGTATTCGAATCCTTGCAGACTAACACCTGCAAGCTAAGCTAATGGTCACTACTAAATGACTACAGGATGAAGTTACTTGGAGTTCTAGTGTGAGAAATCTTGACCGCTAGGTCGAGTGTGAGGAAGAACCCTGCTCGATGGTACTGCCTTGCAGTGGCACTAATAATCGCGAATTGATGCGGCGTCGGGTTCCGTGTCAGTGGTTGAATAGTCAGGTGAGCTTAAACATCGCATTTAATCTCCTGCGAGTGGGGTGATTGGTGCTGTCTTCTTCAATACTTCTCTAACTGATATCAATCTGTTATCAAACTTGATATATATACATAGTTATACTACTAGAACTCGAGTTAGACCTCGGATTGATATCAGTGCGAGAACCATTGTAAACCAGGGAGTACTGGACGGCCGTTTCATCTCAGTGTGGGACTCATCGGGTGAGTGCGTACTGCCGATAAGTCCCAAACTATTGGGTGAAACACCTGTCCAATAATCTCTGGTTTTCAATGGTCCTCTAATTGACAATAATCCGTGGTTGAACTCGAAAATCAAATCAACTCTTGAAAATTAATCTGATGCTCGCTAGTAACTTGCTAAAGGACGGAGTTCTCCCAGTGAGAAGTCGTGACCAGTGAGTTCCATCCAGTTGGGAGTGAGGATGGAGTTCCCATCGATGGCATTGGTTGGTGGTCATGCTAAATATCACTCAGTGGCCATTGAATCGGGTCCCAATGGTTGAATGCGATACGAGCTTGCCTTGTAACCATAAGGTCTTGGATTCGAACCCTGGTGGTGGGTGCGTACTGATGAAGAGTCTCAAACTAGGCTGTCGAAACAACTGTACAGTACTCCCTGGTTAGTTTACACTGGTTCTCTAACTGACTCGTGAACACTACTGAAATACCAAAAGTAGCTAATAGATACCCCACATTCTACTTATCAATTTACATGAAATCAAGAAAGCAACAAAAAAAGAAGGCATTCATCTTCTCTTGTACAACAATTTATTTGTTAGAATTATTTTAAATACACATATAAGAAGAAACTAAGACCAATACAATATCAAGGATTGAAACAGCACACAACAAATCACAAACGATACAAGGTACTGTAGAAAAAATATATGATAAATAATGATGAAAGACTAAGTTTCTTTTTTTTCTTCTAGAAATTTTCATCTCTGATGATATACACAAGTCGCCAAACATACATAGTGCAGGTGAGGTGGTTGGATTCCCAGCCGATAGGTGTAGAGTTAAACCCCAGTGGTTGGTGTAAAGGGGGATTGGTTGTTGGGTATTCCACTATCGTTGTTGTAGACGCTGTAGCGCTGATTGACTGACTGACTGGGACAGTATAATAAAAGCATCAAATTAACGATCCCTTTAAGGAAAGCGGATCATATAAAATGGGGTTGCCGGGGGGCGGCGGCTAGGAGCAGGAAAGCAGTAGAAAAGGAGGTCAGATGTACTCAAGTTTGAAAATTTGAAAAATACGCGCATACTACATATAAATATAAATATTATCTATATATGAAGTGATAAAATATATAATTTATAATTCTTTTTTTTTTTTTAAAACAACAAAACCTGCTAGGATTGGACAGTATTTTTTGTCAATATTGTCGACAGATTATTAGGTGGAGATGAAGAGTTGTCATTCGATGCACGCTTAAACAAATCGATTAAATAGTATAAACCATATAAGAAATTTTCATCTTTTTTCATATCATTACAACAGTCTTCAATCATTTCCCAACGTGTAAAATCAATTAAATAGACTAAAACGCCTTCATCTGGTTGAGTTTCTTTTGTCATGAATGATGATGTTGGAGATGTGGAGGATAAAGGGGGTGGGGAGGACTGTGATTGATTCAATGTAGAATGGAGGTCATCATCATCATCAGGAATTGGATGACTGTTGCTTAATCCATTACAATAAGGAGGTGAATAATGATTTGACGGGGATGAGTTGGACTTTCTGACATTATCGTCATCAGCAGCAGAAGCAGCAGCAACATCATCATCGTAGGCTAGTAATAGTGAACTTGCATAGAAATGATAACGTGTTTGACTTTCAAACCATTTCGCTAGTTGACTAAGCTTGAGAACATATTGTCGAGCTAAACGTTGTGCACGTTTGACATCAGTGCCAAGGAAGAGACGAATTCCTTAGAAAAGGAAAAGGAGAGAAAGTTAAAAATTATAAGGGATTAGAATACAAAAAACATTCCGTTTGATAATGTTTAAGAGAAAAAAATTAATTTCTAATCATCATCAAGACGTGGGTGTTATACACTCTCTCTCTCCCGTGACCATCAATCTAGAGCTTTGAGGTTTCGGCAGCAGTGGTTTTATTATTACAAAGTAGCGGGGGGGGGGTGCTAGTCTCATGCCCAACCCTCCATCTTTATCGGCCTTACTACTGGCTTAGTGAGGTTTAGGAGTGCGTCGTCAACCGGGAATCGAACCCCGGACCACATGTATGGCTGATGTGCCCTTTCTACCGCTGAACCACCGACGACGCACAAAAGATCTATAGCTCGAGGATTGATAACAAAGAATGACAAGGTGAGAATAAGTTTCGAATACACGGGAAACATTACCTGATGAAATATTCCAATCTGAGAGTTAAACCAGATAAAAACTACTACAAACTGACAATAAATGTCATATATACTTCACGATAGTTCAGAAATAAACGGATTTCAAGCACATGTCACACGCTGAACTTTATTTTATGTCCGAAAGTACTAGGCATGTTGTAAAGTTGTAAAGTATAGTGTTCTGTATTTGGAGAGTCTAACACAGCATGTCGAATATCTACTTTTATGTTATTCTTTTCAGAAAGAGGCAAACCAAACGTCTAAACTGAACAAATTTCTTTGAACTACTTAAAACTTGATATCAGTAGTATAAGAAACAGTAACCAATTTCTTCGGCATGTGCCGGTGATTCAGCTGTAGGATACATTCGAAACACGCACGAACGTGGTCAGAAGTTTGATTTCTGGCCAACACACTCTGCAAAAATTGCCTAGTTAGTTAGGCGATAATACCCTTAGAAAAAGAAAGGCGGTTGCGTGGTAGGCTGGAGATCCCATAAACCCGCAACCATGGGGTTAATGATGAAATATCAAAGCCCAAGTTCTAAGCCCCGTGTTCCACTCAGAACGGAAAGCAGTGAAAAAAAAAAATAATCTCCAATTTCGTGCGCTTTTGGAAGTGCGTGGGCGGTTGTTACTTCCTGGCTGCCCACACCGTGGGAGTTGATTGATTCTTGGGGTACAAGAGAGAGAATTAGTGTTGCGTAACCGTAGAGACCATAGGATAACTGCTTGAAGCTGGTCATACACAGCGGGTAAGATTTCGTCAACGATCAACCCGTAGCATCATCTTACATTTGACAGCGAGAGCGGATCGCATGCCAACAATCGACGTGGATGTATAACATTCATTCTGTTAGCACAAATCCTACTCGTTTGATTTCAATCAGAATTAACCAGAGAACTGACCATAAGATAAATTATAAATATATCACCTTGAAATATAAAGTAGAAATACCATGAGTCTTACCATTACTGTATATTGTCGTTGGATCCAGAGATCGTCCATAGAATATATCAAATGTTGTGTGTTCTTTAATACTTGGATTGAAAACCTACAGTGAAAAAAAAATCAATTCATTTAAAAACAAACAATCACCCCTTGATGTTATTGTTTTGATAGTGGCTAGCATTGGAATTGGAGACAGGCGTTTCGTCCTAATGGAGACTCTTCATTCCCAGTGGAAGATAACGTTGTCAAGCTTAACATATCCATCGTTTTAAAAACGTCAAAGCATCATCTCTTGTTACCTGTTGAAGTTATTCCCCAGTGATGATTGAAGGGTGATACTCTATCTTTGTTACAATGCAATTGTGAAGGGGAGGATGACATTTTCGCACTTTAATCTTTAATATTGCTAATGCTATAAATATTATCAATAGTTTCTCTCTTTAAAACCACAACTATATTGTCTGTAGGTTTACTCAAACTACTGCTGCAACAGTATAGCACTTGAAAATATACCCTGACTTCCGTGTCTTGCTTTTTGCTGTTATATTTGGTTTCGCTGCCTGCCAACAGATGAAAAACCTATGCCCTAAAGTTTTTGATGAAGAAGACATATGGATCTCCTTGAAGGACTTCGAGGCTGTTGTGGATTTGAATGGCGTTCAAGATCTGTTAGCGACGAGACTTTCACATGGAACGCTACTGAGAGGTCGGGTGAAGGCAACATATGGTAGTGTGAGGCAAAACACTGGCGAATACACACCAGCGTCACGCAAACTGCTTCCAAAGTGGGAAGGAACATACACGGTCATCGTGAGACGAGGTCACGTATATACCATCAGAAATGCAAACAAAGGGAAGCGGGTGAACATCAGCGAGCTCCAGAAATGGACACAGCAGGACAAGCAAACAAAGCTGCCAGCACCACAAGAAGACCGAACCTACTTCAGTTGAAAGTATTTGACGGGGGAACGAGTGTGGCGGTGTGATACAGACAATAGATTCCAACGGAATATTATTCTTACATATTCCAACAGTTCAATAGTGCATTAGCAACAGAATAATATATATGTTTGAACATTCTATTTCATGTCATCTAATGTAAACCAAAATCACGCGCTCAGTGATTGGCTAAAGAATATTTATACATTTTTAGCCACATACATTAAACTAGGTCACAGGAGAATAAATTATTCTGATTGGTTGGTAATCTGCTCAAGGCTAGACAAATTGTCCAATGAGGTTATTTCATGTCCATAGCGCAAAGTAAAACTCCAGACTTGAGGAATAAACACCCCTACCTCTTAAAATGTTGATTTCGCCACACTACCTTTAACTGTCAAGACTTGAGTGAGATCCACCGTCTAGACATACACTTTTTGTCATTTGAGCAGTCAGTATATACGTAGAAGAACAAAAAGTCCAAATAAAGAGAAGCAGGGAAGGGGATAATGTGTAAAGAAAGAAAGAAAGAAAAAAAATAGAGAGACTTACTCTTAAACCTGTGACTAAAAATCCAATTTCTTCACGCCATTTATATTTTGCACATTCAATCATTATTTTCGATGGTGATGAGTCTGGTGCATAAGTACGTCGACCCATTTTCAAATCACACAATGATGGATGTTTAAAGTTAGCCAAAACATCTTTTAAACCTAAATATAAATCTACCTTGAGTAGAATTTCAGTAGGTAGATAGGTAGGCAGAATAATCCATCACACACACACAAAACAAAAACGGAAAAGAGAAAGAGAAAATAAGAAAAAAATGGAGCTAAATACATATTTATACAACAAGTAAACAAAGCAATAAAGAGTTATAACTCAACACAACAGAGTTAAACAATGTCTGGAATCAGTCAGTGGAACTCCTTGGTTTTCCAAAGAGTACTGGAAAGATGTTTCATCCCGCTTCGGAACTCTTCTTCAGTACTCATCCACCAGGGTTCGAAACTTCCGGTTACAAGGAGTGCTCATAGGCCATTCAGTCACTGAGCTCTATGAAGGAAGTTACCTGGAGTTATAATGAGAAGTTGTAACCATTGGGGACCACCAAATGCGAGACACTGACTGTTAGATCAAGTCCCAATGGCTGAATGGTCCTGGGGTTCGATTCCCGTTGGGTGGAGTCATAGGCATGTAATAGTGAAGAGTTTCAAACAAGGACGAAACACATCTCTCTCCACTGCTCTTTGATGGTTTCCAACGGTTCTTCAGCTGATGTCAGTCAGCAAAGTAATCAAAACTTGAAAATAAAAGGCGGAAACACATAAACATATACACGATAACAAGAACAACATCAGAAAAGGTAGAACTCACGTTTTCCTTGGGAATCTCGATATAGACCATAGAAGTCGGGTACAAATTGACGTAATTCAAGTAAAACGGGATCACAGCAGTTCGGGTCGAATAAACGCTGATAAAAGTCTAATTCATGCGGTCCTTTAGGATAATGTTGTATTGGTTTATATATGGTGGATTCGTCATGTGAATATAATACTGAAATAGGATGTTTTAAAAAACAACAAAAGAAGTGGTACTTTAACTTCACTGCAAGGGTTAAAATATCTCTCTAATAAACAGTCAGTTTCAATCAATGTGATGTGACAGAACATGTTGACTACTTCACCTATTTGGGAAGTTGTATCAGCACCAACGGATTGATTGGCGACGAAATCTCAGCACGGATCCAAAAAGCTCGAGCTGCTTTCGTTAACTTACACCATCTCTGGCGGGTGTAGGCGTGACATCCGACTATCAACCAAGGAACGTGTGTACTGCTCAGCAGTTCGCTCCGTCCTTCTCTATGGCTCTGAAACATGGCCAATACGAGATGAAGACATGAAAAGGTTGACTGTTTTTGATCGTAGATGTTTACGATCTCTTTCTCACGTTAGGTGGTATAATAAGGTAAATAGTGTTGACGTTAGACGTAGAGTGTTGGGCAAAGAGGGAAAATCAATCGAAGAGGCTATAAAGTTACATAGATTGAGATGGCTAGGTCACGTGCTGCGCATGCCTAACCATCGCCTCCCCCGACGGACGGGCATTACTAGCTGATCTAGGTGCAGGTTGGAAAAGAGTAGGTGGTGGCCAAACAAAAAAGCATGGCATCAATCCATGAAATCCTTAACAGTTAAACTGAGTCAGGTAGGGAGATGCAGATTTCCGGGTTGGGGCCCGCCCTCGGGACTCTAAGAACCAATGGCTAGAGACAATAGGTGACATGGCTCAAAATCGTTGTTAATGGCTTACGCAGATGTATTCAGTCTCTTTAATCTTTCATATTCCTTTCTACCATTCCTCATTCTGTTTCACTCATACTTGTCAAAACTCTATTGATTCCCTTCACTCATTTTCTTGTCTACCTTTGTGTGCTATTTGGAACGTGGCAACTGGAACTGCTGCACTTCGGTGCCAAGTTCTATGTTGAATCCAGACAGACAGACAGAATTTCAATCAGTGTTAGATTCTGTTTATCTGTCATTCCTAAAGTTCTGTGTGGAACCTGGGGGGCTACAGGATTGAGACCTTGGAGCAGTGAATGTGTCACGAAATAGCATGATACACACACTTATCTGGATGAATTTATGTACAGAAATAGAGATTTTGACCTTCACTGAAGACTCCAGTAAGGAATTTTAATGTTTTCTTGGGACACATACATGAAAGTTACGCTGTATAACTATTTTTCAACATTTATTTTGATGTCTATAAAAGAGTTTTGAATTTATGCGTATTTTTTGAGGGCTTGTATGATAGGTTGCTCAAGGTCATTGCTTCCGTTTACCTGAGTGCTTCGTTTGAGTCATTAATGTTTGGAGTTACAGGTTTAGTGACCCGTATTAGCTTTTAAGCGCAACTGCTCATTCCACAGTTATTGATGTATCTAAAGTCGAAGGTCAGGAGTTGGAGTTTGAGGTCAGGGATTAGTTTTAAACCATTTACCCCTAAATTTTGAATAGCATTTATTATTTTTCGTAATGAACTTTATCAGTCCGCCATAACTTCACTAGTAGCTTCAGGAATTATGATTGGTCGCTTCAAGGTCACTCATGGTCTCTTTCCCACTTGTTGACTATTCTTAAATTTTCTTGATTGCAGACATGCGAACAACATTGAACAGACACATAAATCTCAGTTATCTTTAAAATTCCAGGACTTTTCGCTGTGCATATTGATCACTTAAAGTGACATACATAGTCTTAACAATGTATGAGTAATTTTGAATGCTTGAATGATAACTATATGGAAATGGGAATCAATAAAGCAAGTTAGACAAAGTTAAACTACAATAACCAAAACCCTAGTGACCTTGAACGACCAATCAGAATTCAGATGCAAAAAAAGTCTCATGATCGTTGAAAAATGCACTAAAAAGACATTGCGAATATGATGTTACACTATATAGTTGCCGCTTATATGTTTTAAGGATGTCTTCCACTCCCTACACAGATGATTGATAAAGAAATCATACCATACGCCATAAATGCATTTATCCAGGTGACTGTAGGCCATGACCTACTTTGAGATCTATTGGTATTTCTGACACTATTCTTTAACCTACTCCTAACTGCTAAACGTTAAACCTAACCTTAACCCTAGACAATAAACACCTTAATCTAAAAAGTCATAACCCTACCTATCAGTATAGATTTAAAGGAAAAGTACCTGGGGAATAAGTTTAAAAATGCGGGCGTGATTAGAGTTGAAATGACATTTCATAGAATTCCCTGTATCTGATTGGTACCCGAAGGTCAACTTTTGAAAGATCTTGACTTTGGCCATGATACTTTAACTTCGCTGCAAGGGTTAAAATACCTCTCTAATAAACAGTCAGTTTCAATCAATGTTAGATTCTGTTTATCTGTCATTCCTAAAGTTCTGTTTGGAACATCGGAGCTACAGGATTGAGACTTTGAAGCTTCAGTGGTAGTGATGGTGATGTTGTTTTTACAGTATGTGGGACTACTAGCCTGATACCCAACGTTTCCTGCTACCCAAACTTACTTTCAGCTGGTAAATCAGATTTTTTTATTTTATTACAGCTTGATTCCACACAGTATTTCGGTACAAGTATGAAATTTTCAGCATGTGATATCGGTAGCCCAAATTTAGCAGGCCGACCATAGATATCGGGTGTGCGTCGGCGGGGGATCGAACCTCGGACCCTGTGCATGGTCGGCGAACGTCCTAACCGCTGTGCCACCCGGTTTAGGATCCATACTCTAGACCACACCTCTGTAGCGGGTGATCATTCTTCTACTGAACCATTGTAGCATGAATGTTAGACAGTTGAAGGCAATTAGCGAGAAGTCCTTCCATCAGGATCTCGCACTTATTGGCAAGGTGTACCTACAATCTTGAAGGGACTGATGCCCTCATGGTATTTGAACCCAAGTCACTCAGTCTTGAAGGTAGAGACATCACAACTCAACCATTCGATCCATCTATACAAACTCTAGCATAAAGTCTGTCTCAAATATGCAGGGCTTTTTTAGAAGCTCTAACAATCGTCTGACACACTAAATAAGCTTTTTAATAATAATATCTTTATTCTGGACAGTATGATATGGACAGCATGATATCTTCCCTTCGTACAATATCTTCAAGTAAAATATTAATCAATTGACAGTATATCCTTCCTGTGACACACAGTGGTCTCTGAACTGATGAAGCACAAACCATTCCATTATGACATATATTTATATCTGCTTTGTCTCGTTCCTTCAAGAAATCCATCCACGATATCGATCTAGTTGAAAGCCAATTGTAAGAGATGTTCAGAAGTATATTTTGAGACCCAAGGGCATACATAATAACTGAAGAACAGTTATCTCTCATGTATTGGGACACATTCCCACTCACCATCAGGCCTTTCCTCAGGTTTAGTACGAACTTGTGAATCAGACAGAAGCTTGTAACCACTTTAAATTCACACAAGATTAGATAAATACCATTAGAGGGCATATCTTAATCGATTAGAACAAACTGAACGAGAGAAAATATATGCAATAGGGGGGAGAGAGATGGAAGTTTTTGGTAGCACAACAAGTTTTAAGCAGGCCGCCAAATGTCATTAGGCTGCACGATATTTTGAAGCATCGGTCCCAAAGTTTGATCAAGAAACTGACACCATTGAAAGCCACAAGGGAGTACTGGAGAAATTGTTTCGTCCGACTATGGGAACACTTCAGCACTATGTGCACCTATGACACCACCACCATCGACCCACTCCCCGCATCGGTCGGTCGGTCGGTTTTCGACATAGAACTTTGCACATATATGCGGCAGTTCAAGTCGCCACACTCCCTCAATATAGCACACAAAGCAGCAGAAGAAAGTAGAAAAAATGCATAATATAGACAGTAAACAGAATGTGAGACAAAGGAATAGTAATAACGAAGAACAATATAGTTTCATTGGAAATTATAAGTCATAAGGAGTGGATGCATCTGCACCAGCCATTGAGAATGATTTCGAGCCAATTGTTTCCAACCATTGGTTTTTACCGTCCCGAAGACTCCAACTAGGAAGTCTACACCTTTCTACTTGACTAGCTAGCTTAAACTAACTGTTGTGGATTTCATTGACTGGTGCCATGTTTTCGTTTGACCGTCGCTAGCTCTTTTCCAGTCTGGCCCTATATCAGCTAACATTGCCCATCGAGGAAGGCGATGACTAGGCATACGTAGCAAATGTCCTAACCATCTCAGTCGATGTAATTTCACAGTCTCGTCGACTGATTTCCCCGCCTAACCTCAATATTGCTCACCTTATTATACCACTTCACAAGGGAGATGGAACGCAGGCACCTATGATCGAAGACAGCTAATCTTTTCATGTCTTCCAATCTCAATGGCCAGGTCTCAAAGCCATAAAGGAGGACGGAGCGGACTGATGAGCAGTACACACGCCCTTTGGTCGATAGTCGGATATCGCGTCTGCTCCAGAGACGGCGTAAACTGGCATCCACCAGAGATCGAACATGAGCGCTCCAGGTTACAAGTCAAGCTCGTCAACCACTCAGTCATTGGAACGGAATCCAATGACCTAACAATTCCAACAATATCGGTGACTATCTGTCTCGGTGAACCTCTCTGTGATAACAACTTATCGCTAGAACTTCAGGCAGCTGCATCCTATTGTCAGGATTTGATTGGACGTTACAAGTAAAGGTCACGAAATGACATCACGGTATTGGTAGAAGAAGAAGTTAGAATTCATGCATGAGTCAGTCATATTGGATGGATTCCAGTCTAGTGACTCGTAACCTAAAGATCCTGCGTTCTACCCCTAGTGGGTGGGTGCGGTGGGTGGCATCATGAATGCGTACTGCCGAAGAGTCAGTCTCAAACTAAGCAGAAACCGATGCTCAGTACCCCCCCACCTACTGGATTTCAATGGTTCTCTAACTGATATCAGTCAGCTTAGGATCACACTTGAGTGCAATTTACATAGTTACCTACCTACCTACCTACCTACCGATTATAGAATTC